TCTTAATATATATATAATTATTCTAATACACGTCGCGTTACGGATAAGGGTTTTTACGAGGGTTACGGAAAAGAAACATTCATTGATAATATTTTCACATATAATGTTACAATTGATATTTTGAATAAGGATCCTAAGCCTAAATTTATTAAAGAATGTCGATATAGAGATGATTCGTCTAAATGAAAAGATGCAATCCATAAAGAATTAAAGTCTCACAAAACGAGCGAGCTTTTGGACCCATAGTCAAAACATCCGAAAATGTTAAGCCAATAGGATGCAAATGGGTATTTGTGCGAAAATGAAATGAAAAAATTGAAATTATGAGATACAAAGCAAGACTTATAACATAATGGTTTTCACGAAGATCCGACATTGACTATGAGGAGATATATTCTCCTGTAATGGATGCAATCATATTTCGTTATCTCATTAGCTAGGAAAAATATATGAAAAACTTCATATGCATGTATTTAATAGATGTGATCATAACTTATTTGTTCACTTAAAATGATATCTATATAAAAGTCCTAGAAGGCCTTAAGATGTCTAAAGCATGTAATACATATTCTCGAGAAATGAATTCAATTAAATTATAAAGATCTCTATCAAGATTATTTTAGTATTTATTTTATTATTTTAATTTTTAGAAATTCAATTTATGCTATACTTTTTATATTTATTTTTTATTTTTCAATATCTACTATTTAGTAGTAACCTCTGCGTATATGGTATAATCGCTTTAATAAATATTTATTGAAAGAGGGTTATAAAAAAAATCATATTTGTTCGTGTATTTTAAAAAAAAAAATTGGAAAGAGGTTTGTGATAATTGTTGTATATGTTGATGACTTAAATATTATTGAAAGTTCGAAGAGATTCAAAGCGTCATAAGCTATCTAAAAAGAGAATTTGATGTTAATATCTTTGAAAAACAAACTTTTATCTTGACCTATAGTTCTAGCACTTATAGAATAAAATTTTTATTCATTAGTTAATTTATATAGAAAAATTTCTACGGTGATTCTATATAAAGATCATCAATTGACTAGTTCAATGGTAGTTTGTTTACTTGATATTCACCTCGATAAGATAACGAAGAACTACTTGATCCCGAAGTACCATATCTTAGTATAATTGGTGCATTGATATATTTTACTAATAATACTCGACTCGATATAAGTATTTTTATAAATTTATTAGCAAGACATAGTTCTGCTTCAATACGGAGACATTGAAATGGAATTAAGCATTTCCTACATTATCTTCAAAGAAAAATTGATATGATATTTATTTTACTCAAATAATTAATTGGTTATACAAATGTAAGTTATTTATTTGATCCATACAAAACTTGATCACAAATGAGTTATGTATTTACACATGGTGATACAGCTATATCATGACGTTTTATGAAGTAAAGTACAACCGTTACATATTCAAACCATGCGTAAATATCAATTCTTAAGACAAGTCAAGAATATGTTTAGTTAAAATTAATAACCCACCATATCCAAAAGACATGCGATTTATCTATCAGCAAAGAAGTTTTAACAATATCATATAAAGATAATGCTCGCTTGCATAATTCAAATTAAGGAAGAATACATCAAAGTGACAATTTGACGAACTTATTCATTAAGGCATTACCTACCACAACCTTTGAAAAAGTGGTTCACAAGATTGAGATGCATTGTCTTATAGATCTTAAATAATGTTTTCAAGAGGGGAGGCCAATATGGGGATTAACGTGTATAAGGAATATTATACTTTTTTTTCCTTCACTACGATTTTTTTTCTAAAAAGGTTTTATCGAAATATGTTCCTCATACAATGGACAATCAATTGTAGTGTTATAAAATAATGAATATCCATATAAATGTTCATATGTTTTTCATATCTCTACTATTCATAATTCTTAATGTGATTCAATTCATCATTCAATATTAAAAATTAAAAGGGTGATGCAATTGATTCAATAATTTATGTACTTTTAATGATTCATAGTCCCTTCTAATTCTCTTTTTAATCTTAAAGCCTATGAACATGCTTGATTGTTTATTAATTTGTGTATAAATATTTTGTAAAGATTCGGATAATTGTCTAGAGTTGTTATATTTTGTATTCTCTTTATTTTATAGTAAAGTCATTTCTCTATTATTTTTCTCTCCAATTCTATTGTTATTGTTATTTCTTTTATAATAATTTTTTTTCTTCTTTGATTTTTTTACCCTTGATTCTTTTTGGGCTACATGTGGTGAACTTGTTTTGATATAATTTTTTATAAGAGCGGCTTGATTCTCAAAGCTCCAATTCTATTTTTATGCTCATTGTAAGATACGTAATCATTTTATAAATTTTCAACATCCATAATATAAATACAATTCATAATAAAAAATAATTATTTAGAATTCATAATAAAAATACATCAAGTATTAAAATCTATCAAAATGACCATTAACTTCTAAATCTTGACATTTCCAAATAAAAAAACACACCTATCAAAACAAATAATCTATCAAAATATTAAGTTAAAAGTAGGGGAGTATCCTTTTTTGTTTCAAAAGAAAAGAAGTTATCTTTTAAAATGACACTTGCTTTTTTAAAAAAACAAATATTAAGCAAACATTAATTTTAGACAAAAAATACCGTTAAAAGTAGTTGTGCTTCAAAAGCACAACAATAAAACATGCATTAGATATAGTTTGTCATTGATTTTTATCCATGTTGATTTTAGATAGTAAGGCCGAGTTTGGCAATGCAGTTTTAGTACATTTGAAAGTGCTTCCCATGGTGCATTTGTGCTTTTGAAAGAGCGTTCAGACTGTAAAAGCACTAAAATTATGCTTTTCAAAGTGCTTTTAGATCGATTTGATATGAACATATTAAAACCAATAAAAAAACACTTCAAAATGCATCAATTTTGTGCATTTTCAATTGAAAAGTGCTTTTATAAAAGCACATGCAGCGCTTTATTAAATACACACTAAATCCTATTCTTTCAAAATTCAAGAAATTAATAAATTAAGATTTTAAACTTTTATTTTAATTTGGGAGAGAATTAGCTCAACTTGTTCTTATGTTTTAGTTCAAGTCTCCAATTTGCCCTTGTAAGTCTAATTTCTCTCAATTTATCCTTATATTTTACGTCATTCTCCAATCCATCCTTCTAGTAGATATTTTCATGCACAATAATGGAAATACCCTCACTTAAAAAACCCAAACCTCACCTAAGGAAAAAAAAAAAAACTGTTTTATTGTGTTAATTTTTTTTTTAAAAATAAATTAGGTTAGGTTTGAATTTATCACGGGAGGATATTTTTATCAATTTATATAAGAATATCTAACATAAGGATAGATTGAAGAATTGTTTATTAGTTAGGGATAAATTGGAAGCAATTAGACTTGCAAGAATAAATTAAAAATTAGACATAAAATATAAGGATAAATTGAACTAATCCTTCTAATTTTATTGGTGTAATATAGTGAGCATTTTGTTAGGCATTAGTTTTAAAATTTATCTATGAAGAAGGAAATAATATCTAGAAATCACTCTCTTTTTAATAATGTATATTTTGGAGCTAGAAACAAACATACACTGAGAGACTTTAGTTTTGATTTTCGAAAAAGAAGAAAAATTGAAACCAAGAGTCCAATTGATAATTAAATTTTAGATGTAGGGACTGACATGAATGATTTAAAAAATATGGGTACTTAAATGTATATAACAGTTGAAAATATGAAAATTCTGAAAGCTTGCTGCCCTCCTCTCAATCTCAAGTCATAGGACGATCCGCCATTAAAAATAAAATCAAACTGGTTTAATTGCATAAGTTACCTCCAAACTATTGAATTATGATAATTTAAAATGTATACTATTAATTTGGATTATTTAAATCTTAAACTATTTTTTTATACACAAATTTATCCTTTTTCCATTATCTTTAATTGTTAAAACATTGGTCGTTAGTGAGAATATGATTTACTAACAAAATTTACCCTTAAACTATTAGAATTGCAGCAAAATAATATTTATACTATTAATTTAGGTTATTTAAATCTCAAACTATTAATTTTTTGACAAATTTTATCTTTTTTCATTATTTTTGACATCAAAGTGTTGATCGTTAACTAAAGTGCTTAAAATGATATTATTTTAAGCATTTTAGATTTTTTAAAATTAAAATTAATTTAAAAAATATTTAATAAAAAATAAATTTGAATTTTTTGAATTATTAATATTTTTTTTGAAATTAATTTTAATATTTTAAAAATTAATAATTCAGTTTTTTTACTAGATGGATATATTACACACATTAATTATCCAACAAAAAAAGTCAAATTTATAAACAACAAAATCATCTAAACTTCCTTAAAACTAACAATTATTAAAGAAAAAAATTGAAATTAATTGAAATTTTATATATACATAAAGAACAATCAAAATTTTGATTGTCATAAATAATAAAAAAGAATAAAATTTCTCAATAAATAATAGTTTTGAATCTAAATGGTTTATATTAATAGAATGAGTTTTAAATTGTCATAACTCAATAGTTTGATAGTTTGATGATAATTTTTGCCATTAAACCAAATAAAACTTATTATGAAAAAATACATTGAGCTCATTTAAGAATATATTTTTTTTGACTTTTTGATAATTGACATTTCCATCGAAAGAAAAGAAAAAAGAAAAGAATTCAAACTTATGGAGAAGATTTTATTTTATTTTTTTGGTTGGAACCATGCTACATAAGATAATAACACCCAAAATCCTTTTGTTGAAAAAAGTCTACATACCTTCGAATCCAACTTTTAGCTTGTTGAGCCGAATGGCAGCCCAAATGGGGATGACGCCCTGAGGTCCACGACTTTCGTCTCCATTCATTTTTTTTTTCCTTTCTATTTGGAGAGAGTCCATGGTCTTTGAATTTATCATCCGGCTGCATTACACGACATGAAACGCAAAAGAAGAAATTAATAAAAAATAAATAAAATCCATGTCCTTGGGCATTGAACTTAGTGGGGTCAGTCGAGGCATTTCGAATTTGTTTGCTGGAGTCAACAAACAAATTCGAGGCATCGACAAACAAATTCGAAATGCCTCAACTGACCCCACTAACCTGGAGAAAGACATAGGTTCCTTTGTTATTGGACTATCTGGACCATTTATTATTATTATTATTATTTAGACAAATGTTATTCTTATTCAGATATCTTTAATAGTCAAAACGTTATCTTTGATTGAAATATGATTTAATGAATTTTTTTAAAACTATTAAGAGTAGAGTAAAATAAAGTTTATATTATCAATTTAGGTTATTTGAATCCCAAATTATGAATTTCTTTAAATTTTTTATAAATTTCTATTGTTTTTTACGGTTAGAGTGTTGAAAAATTTTAGAATAACATCATTTTAAGTATTTTGCTTTAAATATTTTAAATTTTTATTTTTTAGAATTAAAATTAATTTTGTAAAAGAATTAATGATTTTTTTTAACTAGAAAGATTTATTACACATCATTAATTATCTAACAATAAAAACAAGATTCATAAATAAAAAAATCATCTAAGCAACCTTAAAGCTAATTATTATTAATATTTTTTCAAAATTAATTTTAATTCTTAAAAGAAATTAAAAATTCAATTTTTTACTAGATGGATTAATTATACATTATTAATTATCCAAAATAAAAGTTAAATCCATAAGTAACAAAATCTAAACTTTCTTAAGACTAACTACTATTAAAAATTAATTTTAATTCTAAAAAAAGGGTAGAACGGTCAAAAATTTGACTATCAAAAACAATAAAAAAGATAAAATTTATCTCAAAACTAATAATTTATAATCAAATAGCCCCAATTAATCGTTTAAGTTTTATTTAGCCACAATGCCAATAATTTGATGATAAATTTTATCATTAAATCATATTTCAGTTAATGGTTAATATTTTGACAATTAAAGATAAATAAGAAATGATAATATTTGTTTGAAAAAAATAATAGTTTATAGTTCAAATAACTCAAATTAATAGTACGAGTTTTAGATTGTTATAAGTCAATAATTTGATGGTAATTTTTACTATTAAACTAAATAAAAGTCATTATAAAAATGTACATTGATCTCATCTAATAATTTTTTTGACTTTTTCATCAAAAGAAAAAAGGAAAAAGAAAAAGACTTCAAACTTATGGATAAGATTTTATTTTATGTTTTGGGTGGAACCATTCTACATAAGATAATAACACCCAAAATCTTTTCGTCGAAAAAAGTTCGTATGCCTTAGAATCCAACTTCAAGCTTGCTGAGCCAAATGGCAACCCAAACGGGAATGACCACGACCACGATCACGACCTTCATCTTTTTTTTTTTTTTTTTGGCTCTTTTAGTTTGAAGAGAGCTCACGGTCTTTGAATTTGTCATCCGGCCACGTTACACGACCTGAAACGTGAGACAAGAAATTAATAAAAAATAAACAAACAAATAAAATCCATGTCTTTGTGCATCGAACTTAATGTGGTCAGTCAACAAACAAATTCGAAGAATAGTCAACAAACAAATTCGAAATAACCACGGGAAAGGCTCATAGGTCCCTTCCATTCTTACAAGCATGGCGGCTTACGCGCCTTAAAATATCATGCTTTCTCGAAAGTTAGTCAGCTAGCTATCTGTCTTTCTATACAAAGACATAACCTATTAAGAAACGAACTATTCTCAGCCAACCAACCTAAATACTGTCCACCGAATTTCCCGTTAGCCGTCCCCACCTCCTCCTCTGCAAAACCCCAACTGCCACGCCATTGCTCCAATTGCCACCTTCTCCCCACATTAAATTTCTTCCCTCCCTCTCAAACTCACTCAAAATTCCAAAAAAAAAAAAAAAAAAAAAACCCTTACTTTACGGGAAGAAAAACAGAAACAATACCTCTAGCAACACAGGTGGGCTTTTATTTTTTATTTTTTAAAAAATATATATTATAGACAGTCGTGACAGGTTGTATAACTTGTAAATAAAGCTCGGTAACATTAGCAGTTTTTTGGTAATATTTTACCTGGAAACTCTTCTGTCTGTTACATTGATTGCTGGGTTTGTTGAAAATGCAGTGATATAAAAGAGAGAGGGAAGTAAAAATGACAGGCTCAACAGAAGGACAAAAACCTCTGGCTCTAATGGAGAACATTTTGGGTTTGCTCAGAATTAACGTCAAACGTGGTATAAATCTTGCTGTTCGTGATGTTCGTAGCAGTGATCCTTATGTTGTTGTCAGAATGGGCAAACAGGTTAGTTTCTCCATTTTTCTTCCTTCTTTTGATCTCTCTTATAATTTTCTGTTCTTTTCTTCTTTCTTTTTCCTTCATTTGTTCTTTGGTTTCTTTGGTGATGTCTTTTGTGATTGGAAAATTTAGAAGAAAAAAAAAGACTGTTGGTGATGTATAGCCTCGTCTCCTTGGTGTGGTCTATAGGTCTTGGACTGACAGGATTTCTTCAGGCTCGTGTGGATGCCATTTTACTTGTTTTGGAATCTTGAATCTTGATTATTGGCTTTCTGAGCATGATTCTCAGTTCTTACTAAAAATATTTTTTATTTATTGATGATATCTTTAACTCAACTCTAGAAATTTCAAGTCTCAAGTATTTTCAACTCTAGAAATGTCTTATGTTTAAATATTTTCTCTTGTTGAGAAAAGTATTTTTGTTTTAGGTCTATTATATTATGCCCTCAACGAAATTACAACTTATGTGGCGCGCCCTGATAATAAATCGACGATTAATGTGTTCTGATGTATAATATCTCGACTAATGAATTGACGTTAGAAGCCAGAAATTCTATGAGTGAACATGCTATTTTTGGATGTTAGTCTTAAATTTTAGCAAGGAAAAATTCAGAATTAGTACAGTTTGCAAAATAAGGTATAATGCTAGTTGTTTTGGTCAGAAAATGTGGGAATTAATCTTTCTCATTTTCTTGTCCAAATAAATTCTTCCAGATTTCCGATTATCTGTGCAATTCTTCCAGCATTTTCAAATGAAAGTTCTTTTTCATATTTGTTTACATGTTGACAGTCAGCATGCTATGCTATCAAGTTTAATTTAGGATGGTACTAGCTCCAGCTATCTCCTCTGGCTCTGTTTAAAGAAGAGATTTTTTTATTGTTTTAGGACATAAAAATATAAGAACTACATTCAAATGCATAGATTATAACAGTATATAGTATTTTGATCTTTTTCTGTTTTCCATTGTCATTTATTTAATTTGTAACCTTCTAATTTCCGGTAAAGATTTTATTGATCATAATACGGTAAGATGCAATGTAGTAGTAGTCCATATTTACTAATAGCATTGTTTTTATTTGTTTAGGCCCTTCCAATCGCAAGATTATGTCTTCTAATTTTGTGATTATAAACATTTGATGCAGAAATTGAAAACTCGTGTGATCAAGAAAAGTGTTAATCCATACTGGAATGAAGATCTAACTCTTTCTGTTACAGATCCTAATCTTCCAGTCAAGCTGGTAAGTTTTATGTTTTGTCACGTTAGGACTTAAGAGCCATTTCAACGAGGGACATACATAAACCTGTTTATTGTGCACAAAAGAACTACTCTTATGATTGCCTTCTCATCACTGTTCTTGTTCAAACTGCTAATCTATTTCAAAAGATGAGAATAATAACATTCTTTCTGAATTCAAAATGCTTAACTGATCGAAGGTGAGTTGGAAAAAATGGAGTGTTTTCTTGAAAACTTTTAGTTAACATTACACAGGATGTGGCTTTATCTGAATCATCAGTGCTCAATACTGCAGCTCGGGATGCCCCTATCCCCCTTCTAAGACACCCTAAAGGAAAAGGGAAAAGAAGGAAACAAAGTGAAACTTCATTATAAAATACATCTCAAATGCATTTCACTTTTCAGTAGATTAATATTGATTTCATCTTTACAATTGTTTTTCTTTCTTTTTAAAGGTAGGTAAGAACATCTAAATTCCATAACCTGTGATTCTTTAGGATCACTTAAGGCTAATCCTTGAAATCTTAAACTGCCACTTCCTTGAAAGATGCAAATCCAACCATAAAAATCAGCTATCTTCCATTGCCATGAAGATTGTAATAGAACCTCTATTTTCACCAATATCCAACACTGGCTAGTAATGCTTCATTATGTCAAGGTTTGTTTACTTAAGAGATATGCAGAATCAAAAGAGGATTGTGCCCTTTATTTAAGTTTGAGAGAAAATTGTCTTCGTTTTGTTGAGTAATCCCATATTGGTGTTGTACAGAATTTAGAATGGCCAAAGTGCCTGGGCTTCTCCACTGCTTGTAACTTTTAGTCTGGATTCTCCACTTTAGTATCAGAGCCAACTATCATGTTTTTCATTATTGTTGTGTAGCCTCATGTTCATTTCATTATTGTTATTGGACCGTGCCACTTTATCATGGTTGTCATTATCATGTTACCTGTGGTTCTGTTGGGCTTGTATTTAAGGGATGCTACTAAGTGATTCGATGATGGTTGAGAGTGTTTGCTTGGTCCTACATAGTACTTAGTGTGTGTTAGGTAATGAGTTGTAGGTTCTTGTTGGATTAAGTTATTGTTTTTGCTTTTATTAGTTCATGCTTTCCTAATATTTCCATATTCGTGGTTATGTTTCTTTCTGATTTCAGACTGTCTATGACCGTGACTTATTAAGCAAGGACGATAAAATGGGAGAGGCAGAGTTTGATATTAAACCATTGATAGAGACCTTGAAGATGAACTTGGCAGGGCTAGCAAGTGGCACCCTCATCACAAGAGTAAAACCGAGCAGGCAGAATTGTTTATCTGATGATAGCTGCATTTTTTATAGTGATGGCAGCGTTGTTCAAGATCTCTACGTCAGATTGCAGAATGTGGAATGTGGAGAATTGGAAATCCGACTCCAATGGATTGATCTCCCTAGCTCCAGCAGCTTATATTAATGATTGTTCCTTTATTTCCTTGGTGTCACTTGATATGAACTGGCTGCTTTTAAGCTTCTACCACCTGTGATCGTGTGAATTTCACTGTGGATGTCTGTCCACATATTTGCATTACAAACTAACCTTGTACTAATGTCAAAACATATAAACACAACAGAAATTCATAGGATATGTGACTCCTACTATCTACTATAATTAAGTGCTAAAGTAATTGTCCAAGAAAAGTTAGTGCTGTCAAGAAGAGAACATTTTAGTATATGTCAATACTTTTTTTCCCCCCGAGGTGTTGACGGATGCAATGATTAAACAAGTGCTCAAGTAATGGTGAATAAAAGTTATTGCCGTTAAGAAAAAAAATTCCAATTAGTCTATTTCAATATTTTAGGGTTTTTTATAATGAATAATACAGAATGTAACTTAATATTTATTTAGATAGATTAGAGTTTTTTTTTTATTTAAAAAAACTTAATTTTGCACTTCCGCCATCATGAATGTGTTTATCTCACCATTAGAGTCCAATGGGCTTTAAGCTCTTAATTGTCACTTATAGATTTAAAAATCTTAATTGTCACTTATAGATTTAAAAAAAAAAATGACATGAGCCACACTCGAATGATATTTCTCACATTCTTTCACTTAGTTTATGTGATACTACTTGAAAAATAAAAATTCTTTATGGAATCTAAAATAATTAATAAGTAAAAATATGCATACTTAGATCAAGAATATAACATATGAATCATATAGATTATATTTTATAAATAAGTACTTTGTTTTATGTATTACAATGCATTGCATTCTCAAAATAAACACTTAATAAGCAAATAAACTTTATGAATGAACTTTCAATAAGTTATTTGGATCTTACTTTATATATCCTAACAAATATAAAAAAATAATACTTTATGCATATAAAAATTGCATCAATCTTTGAGAATAACATAAAAAATTATCTAAACAATCAATGAAAGGAAAATAAAATCAAACATCAAATGGGCTAACTAGACCTATATAATATCTATATTGTTTTGTCAGTAGTTCTACAATTAGCTCAATGCTAATTTATTCAATGAACACTTTATATTCCTTTACTTTAAAAATAATAAGAGTGGAAGTCAAAACGAGCATATTGATATAAAGTATCTCAATGCGAAAAAAAGAGTAAAGGTTTGCATGTGTCTTTATAAAAACTATATCCGCATTATCGATATGAAACCGATAACTCGTTATACCATAAATGAAATTCTTTAACTAGTAGCATGTGTCGTTGCTTCATAACATGCAATGAATTCTACTTTCATAGTAGACAAAGCAATAAAGGTTTGCTTAGTATTTCTCCAAGATATAACTCCTTTAGCAAAAAGAAAAATTTATCGTGAAATAGATTTTTTTTTTGAGTCTACATAACCAACAAAATTTGAATCTAAATAACCAACCATCCCAAGATGATTAGCATGTCCGTAAATCGGTTTGTAATCATTAGTTCTTTGTGGATACCATATAACTTTTTTAACGGTATTCTAATGTTCCATTCCAAGATTGCTTTAGAACCTTCCTAACATTCCTACTACAAATGCCAAGTCAAGTTTTGTATAGATTTGTGCATACAAACTATCTACTACAAATGTACACGTAATGCTACTCATTTTTTTCTAATGCATTTTATGGACATTGATTACGGTTGAATTTTTCTCTTTGATAATACGTGCGACTAAAGATTCATTTCTAATATTCCATTCCAAGATTGTTTTAGAACCTTCCTAACATTTCTATTGCAAATGCCGAGTCAAGTCTTGTGTAAACTTGTGCTTACAATAAATCGCCTACTAATGATGCATAGCAAATGCTACTCATTTGATTCTTTCCAATGCATTTTGTGGACATTTATGCTAGTTGAATTTTTTTTCCTTTGACAATAGACGCTAATGAAGATGCACAATTTAACATCTTTAATCTTTCTAAAACCTTTTCAATGTAGACATTTAGAGATAATTTTAATAATCTTTAACATTTGTTTATGTGAATCTCTATGCCCATGATATAATAGGTTTCACTCAAATTCTTCTTGTCAAAGTTTTGATAAAGAAGTTGCTTAGTCTTGTGAAACAATCCCAATTCATCACCCCTTCTAGTAAAAGATGACTTTAAAGAGTTATAATCATATAACAAATTGCGTAACCCAAGAGAAGAGGGGCTAAGACCATATAATCATCACTCTTGCAAAAAGCTATAGTTACAAGGAGAAGTCTCGGTGGTGCTTCTATGACAAATTACATACTTACAAAGCCACAGGAGATAAAAACCTAATTCTCACGATCATGGTTGGATAAAGAGAGCAAATTTTGAGCGTAGGTAGTATATGCCTTCACATCAATTACCTCAAAAGGAAGACCCTTTTTGTAGGACAAACTACCGATAACAAAAGCTTCAAAATGACATAAGTCTATTCTACAAGAAGAAGTACATGTTAATGAGACCATATCATTCAAAGTAAGCCCTATAGGACCTCTTTGTGTAAGGAAATAGTAATTGCTAATGTCCCATAAAAAAATCATGACTTAAAAGAGAGGACGGTTTTAAGTCAAAGCACGAGTCTAAAGTAAGATCCAACATCACCCTTATCCTCAATTTATCCCACCTTTTTTTTTCTTCTATGGGGTTGATCTTTTATAGAAAAATACAAAGCATAGAACTTAATTTGGCCTATAGGCTATTTTCTAGAAGGATGTTTTAAATAACTAGTAAAGCTTGCCTAATCTATATCACAAGCAAACTTTAGAGCACATAGAATTATGGCTTTGGCGTTGGGAACTAGTTTTGCCAAAAGGCTATGAGTTATGAGCAAGAAGTTTTAAAATCAAAACCACGAGAAAGCAAAGAACCAAGAATGTAGCGTAGCAAAAGGGTTAGAGACTATAATAATCCATTTTTGACCCACCATTTATTTTCACACAAAATTAAAAATTCAAAAAAATAAAAAAAAATTAGAGTGTTGCATACTTTGTCTTTTTCATGATTTTTAGGCCTTTTTTTAATAAATTTTTAGGATTTTAATTTCTTATAATTATTTTCTATTATTAATTAAAAAAAGGAAGAAATAATAAAAAGATTGAGAAGATAATTTTGGATCCAATTGAAAATGATGTGAAAAGTGAGAACCAAGTAACATTCAATTAGGGATGTAATTGGAAAGGAATAAAAATCAAGGGACTTGGTTGAGAATTGATTAGTATGAAATTAAAAAAAAAAAGAATAAAGGATTAAACGATTTCAATTAAGGGGTTAATTGGAGACAAATAATAATATATACATTGAAATTGAAAAAATAATCCAAGAAAGGACCAAAATTGACTTTATCCCAAACTCTAAAAATTCTTATATATAAGCACACTTTCATCTCATTTTGGAGAGACTCTACCTATCCCAAAAACCCTAGCCATAATACTCTACTTACCGTAAAAAACCCTAGCCTCCATATTTATCCATCTTCCTTACAAAAACCACTAGTTGGAAACATATAGCCTCCATTATTCATCATATTCTTCTCTTTTTAACCCACAAAGAAAAAAAACATAGTTAGAAAAAATATTCATCTTTCTCTAAAAATATAGATGTTGGATAGAGATCCCAAAAATAATAATAATAAAAAACCTAAAAAACCCCTAAAAGCGCCAAACAAGGCCTTAAGGACTTGTCCGACTTATGGGTTGACCTACCGTAGCCGCTATTCCTTCCTCTCCTAAATCAACCACCATTTGGCCAATATCACCTCCATCCACCACCATTAATTGGTAACTCAACCTCGGATCTACTATTCCTAACTAGTTAAAAAGGAGAAAGAAGTCGAAGTTGGTTAAAAAATAAGACAGAAAGTAAGTCACCCGACTCGATTTGTAATAAGATTTATGACTACTACCATTAGAGAAATACCCTCATCTTTTTAGAAGCAAGTGCCCCCTCCCTAAAATTCAGGCAAAATCCCATTGGAAATTAGCTAGATCGAGGAGGAGAAGAACCAACTAACTTACGAACCCGTTTATGCCTAACTGGACTCCATCATCGTTTTCCAACCATATCACCTTGTTTAAAGGACAAAGAAATGTTCCAACAAGTCTTAGGAACATCTCTAGCTAGCTTTTAAACCTTAAAACCCATTACATTCATCAAAATCTACATAAAAAAAGAGAGAAGGTCGAAACTTTACTCGCATCGATCTTCCTCCATTGTCAACGGTGATGGCCGCCCCTACCACATACAAGTAGAGTGAGACCTCCTCCAGACTTGCAAGCTAATCCATATGCCTCAAGGTGGTTGGAGTAGAAGCCAATAATGATTGGACAATGGCATCGTGCATAGTGCACGTGCAAGGGTATTTTGGTCATTTCTCATGCAAAATGTAGTTTGGTCATTTCCGGTAGCTTTTCAAGGGACATTTTGGTCACTTTTTAATGATCATTCAATTTTTTTTCCTTACCATTGTAAGTATTTTATAATGTTGTTTTGTAATAATGTTAGTTTTATTTATGTTAGAAAACCTAGAAATATTTAAGTTGTGAAATTTATTTTAATTTATGGATTTGATTTGGTCATGATGTTGGACCTATAATTCTCCTATTTATTAAGGATAGGCGATTAGTTTTGATATATATTTTATCCAAATGTGAAAATGCTAAATAATAATAATAATAATAATAATAAGTCAAGTCGGGGTTAATTTTATTCATCATTTAATGTAAACATTTTTAGTTAATTAGGTCATTCCTCAACATGCCAATTGTGACGGTACCTTAATTCGGATCCGATGCTAAATTGATGAGACTCCTAAATTCTAAGGACTAATATTAATTTAATACGATTCCAAAAATAAAAAAATTAATTTTAGAAAATAGTTTTTCTCGCATGTCTCAAAATAAAACACCTTTAGTTTAATTAAGAAAAAAGAACATAAAATTTTTTAAGTAAATTTAACGAGTCTCATATGCAATAGGGACAAACATTAT